TAGATAGATAGATAGAAATGAAGAAAGAGGCTGGGATAGATAGATAGATAAGATAGATAGATAGATAGATAGATAGATAGATAGATAGAAATGAAGAAATAGATAGATAGATAGATAGATAGATAGATAGATAGATAGATAGATTACTTACCTTGAAAATCAACAGTTGATTTCCTTGGGATTTTTGTCTGTTTGGGTTTTTTTCTTTAAACATAACTTTTTTTAAAATTTTAATTGTTTTTTTCTTTAACAGAGATCGAACACCGATCACCATTTCCAACGGGCAAACAATGTGCACGAGGCAATTAAGGTTCTTAGTTGTGTCCTTTTTTTTTTTTTTTTTTTTTGCCAAATTAGACAAAAAATTCCTACGCATCATGAGGTGCTTTTTTTTTTTCCTCCAGATCGTATGAAAACTTTTACCTCTTGCGCGAACAGATCAAAACCAAAGATATATTCACAAGTAATTGACCCATTGAAGAAAGCATTTTTGCGTATATACATATTTTTTTCCCATATACGTTGGAAATAAGGAAATTGAAACAATAAATGTACACACTATTCTTGCAAACATTCGGTTACACGTACTTCTATAGCCAACAAATAGATGCCAAAATATGTGATTGATAATGCACAAACAAAAAAAAATCACAGTTCCCATAGTGATGTACACATATTCATATAAACTTAGATAAACCAAACACACACACACACACACACACACATATATATATATATATATATATACACACACATATATATATATATATATATATATATATATATATATATATATATGGTAAGTTTACATTACAAACATATAGGATTATATCCATATATATATGAATAAAAAGTACAGACAAGGTTTGTCGGTTTAATTTTTTTTATTGTATTTTTCCAATTTTAGAATAATGAGTTGAGCATTTTGATATCGTAGAAAACCCGTCCGGAGTTCGGGCTGTGTTTATCCTCAATTTCGGGTACAATATTCCACAACTTATTCGAAAATTCGCAAAGTACAATAAAAAAAAAATGAAAGAGACAGACCTTGAATACTTGCTGCCTAAATATACCCCCACGACACACACACACACACACATATACATACACGAGAAGTTATTGAAAAGTTCTCGGACCTACACACATCGCAAAAATCCGGTAAAAGTGACTAAAAACATCATATTCTTTTTCTTGGTTTGATTGACAAGTTTTCATTATTACTTTGTATAAAAGAATGATAAAGAATCTCACAGATACGAACAGACATAGCTAGCTAGCTAGCTAGCTAGCTAGATAGATAGATAGATAGATAGATAGATAGATAGATAGATAGATAGATAGACTAACATACATACATAGGAACAGACTGATAGATAGATAGATAGATAGATAGATAGATAGATAGATAGATAGATAGATAGATATGAACAGAATGACATAGATAGATACGAACAAACTGACATAGATAGATAGATAGATAGATAGATAGATAGATAGATAGATAGATAGATAGATTTATTTTTGTAAATATAAAGACACGTCTATATTTAAACATAAATGAATATAGATCTATGCTTGTGTACAGCACATGAGTGTAAGTTATATATATATACGCACTTGCGTAGATATATTTGTAGTTGGTTGTATATGAACGGCAGTGACAAATTCTCTATGTGACACATTTCACAAATCACGTATTCTAATGTTTGGTCACTGAAATAGTGATTCTGCCAAGTGGGACAGGCAGTGACTTTTTCAGTATCATCTCATAATATATACATATGTATTTCTGAATAGACGGATGGATGTCTGGATACGTTTGATATGACAGAAGTGATTAAAAAGTAAATTATAAGCAGTGAAAAACATGATTACATAGGTTGAGATATAGATATTTAATTTATGATACAATGAATGAAAGCCGTAATTATTTTAAGTCAGGAAAGGTGTAATTATAGTAAGACATATAATTACGGCTCGCACAGAATTTCCACATATCACAAAAATAAAATTATTTCTAAACTGCAAATAAAGAAAGACAGGTGCATAATTATATATATATATATATATATATATATATATATATATATATATATATATATATATATATATATATATATATATATATATATAGTTTTAGCTTTCATTGATATATATTGTGCAATTTTCATTTCCTTTTTTATACATTATAAACATTCACACACCTGACAATTTTACACACATACCTATGCATACATACACACACACACAAAATAAAAACACACACATAGACACACACATATATAAAGTTTTAGTTTTCATTTCATTGATATATGTTGTGCAATTTTCATTTACATATTTTATACATTAATAATAAAACATACGCACACACCTGACAAATTTACACACATACCTATACACACACACACACACACACACACACACACACATATATATATATATATATATATATATATATATATATATATATATATATATATATATATATATATATATATATATATATATATATATATAAATAAAATGGTACTTATTATGCCTTCCCACCCTACTTACCCTTCTCATGTCCGCAGCCTGTCTCTCCTGGTCAAATATAAAAGACACACTTTTAGAAGGTGAAGGTTGTGGGGTAAGGTAGGACCTCTTCCCAGAGTTGACCCTTAAAAGGGTCTGGTGACTGGTGCATTGTTGTAATATTGTTGGGGCCGAACCCCTCCGGCTATTAACACGGCCTAGGGACCTGCGGCGGTGTTTTCGTACGGTGGTGCCCGTTCTTGTTAACATCGACATGCCGGCCGACGGTGTCTAAACTACTACTACTACTGGTTTGTATTTCCACACAGGTTTATAAGAGTCTGGGCCTAAGGTGTGTATGTGTGGGTATAGGTGTATTTTGTATGTGTAAAGGCGTGTGTGTGTGTTAGTGTTTGTGTGTGTGTGTTTGTGTGTACGTGTGTTGTTAAAACTGCTGCTGCTGCTGCAACATTTATTACAGCTGCTGCTGCTTTTCGTGTTTTTGTGTACATTGTGTTTGCACCTCTCGCGTGCGTTGGTAGGGAGGGTGTGCACGTGAAGTTTATACTCTTACTACTACTGTTACCCATCAACTGTTCCTCCTTCACCTTGGATCCTTCCTTCCTTCCGTCCTTTTTTCCTCCTTACTTTCTCTCTCTGTCTCTGTCTCTGTGTCACTCTTTGTTTTTCTATCTCTCTCTCACTCTCTCTTTAACATACTTTCCTTTTATAATTTGTTAAATATTACGACAGTGGAAGGCCGAATAAATTGCTGGGTTGGTTAGGTAAGATTGTTTACGCCAATCTTCCTTCTTGGGGACGCCCCTCTTCTTTTGAATCCCGACCTTTTGCTGGGCCTCGAACACTGAGTACCTGTAACTGTGGGTAAAAAATGCAACTTGTTTCAACTACGACGAGTCAGGCCACGCGTAGCTTTCTTGGCGTTGTCATAATAAATAATGACTTCATCTCTCTTCCTTCAGCTCCATCACTCTCACATTTGTTTATTCTATTTCCTTTATTTTTCTCATTCTTTTTTTTTCTCCTCTCTTATATAAAGTTGGCTCTTTTCGTTCTTTTTCTAACTTTTTTCTTTTCTTTTCTTTCTTCTTTGTTTGCGTTTCTTTCCTTTTTTCTTTTTCTTTTGCTCGCTCGCTTTTCTTTCTTTTTCTAACTTTTCTATTTTTTTTTTTTATCTTTTCATTTTTATTCCTCTTTCTCTCTTTTCTACTGTTTTCCATCATGTTTCTTTGCTTTCTTTCTTTCTTTTCTTTCTTTCTTTCTTTCTTTTTTTTTTTTTCTTTATTTCTTTCTTTTTTTTTTCTTTCTTTCTTTTCTTTTCTGGCTTTCTTTCTTCTGTTATCTTTCTCTTTCTTTCATTTTTGGTTTTTCTTTCTTTGTTTCTAACTTTTCTTTTTTTTTCTTCTCTTTTTTCATCCGTGTTTTCTTTTCCTTTTACTTGTTTTTTTCTTTCTTTTCTGCCTTTCTTTTTTTTCTTCCATTTTTACTTCTATTCCGCCATTGTTTGTCTTTCTTTCATTAAGTCTTTATTTTCTTTTATTCTTATTTGTTTTTTCTTGTTATTTCTTTTATCTCTTTATTTTTTTCTGTTTTTGTTTTATTTCTCTGCCGAGCTCCTTCTTCCCTTCCTCCACCTCTCCCTCTCTCCCTTCCTTCTTTCCTTCCTTCTTCCCTTCATTCCTTCATCCCTTCCTTTTTTCTTTCTTCCCTTCCTTCCTTCCTCCCATCCCTCCTTTTCCCTCTTTCCCCATATTCTCTCCCTTCCTTCCTTCCTTCCTATCTTTCTTCCTTTCTTCCTCCCACCCTCTCTCCTTTCGTTCCTTCCTCCATTCTTCCCTTCCTTCCTTCATACCTCTCCCCCTTTCTTTCTTCCTTCCTTCTTCCCTTCTTCCCTTCCTTCTTTCCATCTTCCATTCCTTCTTTCCTTCCTTCATACCTTTCTTCCTTCCTCCCTCTCTCACTTCTTTCCTTCCTTCCTTCCTTCCTTCCTTCCTTCCTTCTACGCTTGCTTCCATCCTTTATACCTTTCCTTCCTTCCTTTCTTCCTTTCTTCCTTCCTTTTAGTCACTTCATATATGCAAAGTGGGGAAATGCTGTTTATATATATATATATATTGTGGTAATGCTCGACCCTCCCGCGGTTAAGACTACCCCGTTTATTAATTTCGCACTTTCTGACCTTTTAAATTATTTCACCCTTTCATTATGATTCTCTTGTTTATTGCAACTTTAGAAAAAATCAACCCCTGCAGATGATTAAGACCCCTCCCCCTCGTATTAGGCCCCTAAGAGTAATTTGTTCCTTTTATTAACTTTTTCTTTCCACACTGCCAATCTCTATACCGTCTTCTTAATTTCTTTGACTCGATATTTACGAAGCATATTTGATGCCGGCACAGGGCCATGAGGAGCAAGTGAAATAGTCAGGACGGCGTATGAGAAAGGTACAAGTGTGATAAGGTAGAATGTGTAGCTCAAATCTTTCCAAGTATATTCAAGCCTGCTTGACAAAACTTTTTTTTTCTATTTGTTTCATACTTATACGTGAACAAGTTTGTCCTTTCTTCGCCTCTCACAAACAGTCGATACATCTTTCATTATTCATTCATTACACTTTTCTATATTCTTTCAGCTGTTTCTTGTTAATTTATTTTTCCAATTCATTTCATGATATTACCTCTTTTCTAAACGATAAACTCTTTCTCTCTCTCTCTCTTTACCGCTCTCACTTTATCTCTCTATCTCACTCTTTCTCTATCTCACTCTCTCATTTTCTATCTCTCTACCTCCCTCCCACTTTCTCTCTCACTCTATCTCCCAATCTCTCTCAAACTTTCTTTCTCTATCTCCTTTGCTTTCTCTCTATCTATCTATCTATCTATCTATCTATCTATCTATCTATCTGTCTGTCTTGCACTTTCTCAATCTCGATCTTGCTCCCATTCACTTTTTTCTTTTGTATTTTTCTTTCTTTTTTTCTTTCTTTTCTGTTATATTTCATTTTTCCTTCTTTCTTTTTTTATTTCTTTCTTTTTCTTTCTTTCTTTCTTTTTCTTTTGTATTTCTTTCTTTTTCTTTCTTTCCTTCTATAACTCTTTCCTTCTTTTTTTTTCTTTTATCTCTTTTCTTTTCTCTTCTATTTATATTTCATGTATTTTCCAACCCTCGACTTTGTCACTTCCTTCCTTCCTTCCTTCCTTCCTTCCTTCCTTCCTTCCTTCCCCCTTTCTCTCTCTCCCCCCCCCCCATGTTTTGCTTGGTTTATTTCTTTAAATTTTTCCCCTTCCTTCCTTTTCACCTTATATATATACTATATATATATATATATATATATATATATATATATATATATATATATATATATCAACCTTAACCTTCTCGTATTCCTTTTTCTACGTTTCTCAGCATGTACCTTCCTCTTTTTCGATCTCTAAATTTTTGGGATGAGGCCTGCCATCTTTTGGATGTAGATTCGTTTAGTTTTCCCTTCACAGCCTTGCGCTCTTCCACGCATGCGCGCGTGTTGTTTTTTGCCTGTCTGTCGCTCTGTCACTTTTTCCATCCATATGTTCGCGGGTAAAAAGACATAACAACGAACTCTTTACAAATGACGGCTTTTTCCTCATTTTTATCACAGTTGCTGCAACTAAAAAGAGACTTTTGACTGATTTTTAAAATATTAATAGTTTCAAAGTAAATTAAGGATTATGCATTGCGGTATAATTTAACTTAATCAGTCAAATTTTCAATAAATCTATTCATTCATTCGCCGATTAATTCTAAGTTAGATCTGGTAGTTTAAGATTTTACAGGTACTACAACATTCAAATTGCAGATTTCTTCATTTTTTTCTCTTAACTTTATTTCTTTCTTTTGACGGTATCCTTAATTTTTGTCTATTGTTGAATTCATTAAATGTATGTTTCTTTCCTTGTTTTTTCCTTATTTGATTTTTGTCCTTATCTTTTTTCTGTATTTCTGTCTTTGTTCTCGTCTATTATCTTTTTATTCTCTTCTTTCTTTTTCTTTCTTTTTTCGTTTTTCTCTCTCTATTCCTTTTCTTTCTTTCTTCTATTTTCTTTCTTTCTTTGTTATTTCCTTACTTGCTTTTTATATTTATTCTTTTTTCGGTATTTCTGTCCTTGTTCTCTTTTATCTTTTTATTCTCTTCTTTCTTTCTTTTGCTTTCTTCCTTGTTTTTTGTTTTTCTTCGTTTTATCGCTTTTCTTTTTTGTTTCTTTTTCTTTCTGTCTTTTTTTTCTTTTGTTCTTTGTTATTTCTTTTATTGCTTTTTATATTTATTCTTTTTTCTGAATTTATGTCTTTCTAGTCTTCTTTTTCTTTTCATTCTCTTCTTTCTGTTTTTTTCGGTTTTCTTTCTTTATTCTTTTTCTTTCTTTCTTTCTTTCTTTTTTCTTTCCTTCTTTTATTCTTTACCTGCTTTTTTCTTCACCTTTCTTTCCTCTAATTCGTAATCTATCCCTTTTTATTTCTTTCGTTAGCGATTTTCTCCTGCTTCCAATTCTTTCACTTTTCCCTTTCTCTTTGTCAGCCCCAGAATGACTCTAAACCCCCATTCTTTCTTTCTTTCTTTCTTTCTTTCTTTCTTTCTTTCTTTCTCTTGCTTGTCAATCATTTTTCTTTCTTTCTTTTACATCATTTTCCTTCCTTTCTTTTTTGTCACCGTTTCCTAAATTGTCTTTTCTTTCTTTCTTTCTTTCTTTCTTTCTTTCTTTCTTTCTTTCGCGAGTTTTCTTGGTCTTTTCTTTTCTTTTCCTTTTCTCTTTCGCCTTTCTCCCATTCTTCTTTTTCATCTGATTGATTTATTTTTATTCTTATCTAATACTTTTTTCCTGTCAGCTATTTAATTTTTACCACTAATCTCAATACACTTCCTCTTGTGTTTTTTCTTTTTTACATTTTGTTGTTATAACAATAGGAGTAATTTTCTTTTCTTGAACTTTTTTGAACTTTTTTGTTTCTCGTATCTTTTCTTTTCTTTTTTTTATGCAATTCCCCCCAAGCAAGGCGGGAGTGCCACTAGCACGCAAGGGGTTACAGAGGATTGAGAATAAGAGTAAAGAGGCATTTTAAGGAAAGGATATAGAGAAAGACATAGAACAATCTCATGGTGTCAGATGTCGATTGATACTAAGTAAGGGGAAGGGAGTTCCACAGACGGGAAGTGCTACAGAAGAAGCTGTTTGAGTAGAAGAGACGGTTACATTTAACCGTTTTGACAGTGAAAGGGTGGGTCCGAGATGCCAGCTTGGGAGTTCGCTTAAATTCATGCAGTCTGGGAAACTGAATTTTTTTTCTTTCTCCTTGTTCTTCTTCCTTTATTTTCCTTTCTCTATTTCTTTATTATTATTTCTATAGTCTTTCCTTATTCTTTTTATTCTTAGTTCTCTTTATATTTATTTATTTATTTGTATATTGTTCCATATGTATCTCTCTCTCGCTCTCTCTCTCTCTCTCTTTCTTTCTTTCCTTTTATTCATCTTGCTTTTCTTTTTTCTTTCATTCTTTTTTCTCTTTAGTTTTTTATTCTTTCTGTTTATCGTATCTTTCTTTTCGTTTCTCTCGTCTTTCTTTTTCTTATTGTTTTTCTTTTCTTTTTCTTATTTTCTTTCCTTCTTTCAACCGTTTTTACAATCATTTTCCCTCATCCTCACAGATCTTTTGTTTTAATTCCAAAGACCTTATCAAACTACTATTTTCTTTTTAAAGATTTCTATTTGTGCATTATTTTGTCCCTGGTCGTATTCTTTTGTCACTTGGCCTCGTGCCGTACAAAGTAAAAATATTGAAAATTTAAAAAAGAAGAAAATAAAAAATAAAGCCGAAAATGAAAAGGTACAAGAAAGAATGAAAGAAAGAAAGAAAGAAAGAAAGAAAGAAAGAAAGAACGAAAGAAAGATGAGAAAGAAAGAAAGATGAGAAAGAAAGATGAGAAAGAAAGAAAGAAAGAAAGAAAGAAAGATGAGAAAGAAAGAAAGAAAGAAAGATGATAAAGAAAGAAAGAAAGAAAGAACGAAAGAAAGATGAGAAAGAAAGAAAGATGAGAAAGAAAGATGAGAAAGAAAGAAAGAAAGATGAGAAAGAAAGAAAGAAAGAAAGATGATAAAGAAAGAAAGAAAGATGAGAAAGAAAGATGAGAAAGAAAGAAAGAAAGAAAAAAGAAAGAAAGAAAGAACGAAAGAAAGAAAGAAAGAAAGAAAGAAAGAAAGATGAGAAAGAAAGATGAGAAAAGAAAGAAAGAAAGAAAGAAAGAAAGAAGGTAAGGCCAGTTTTTTTCATTATCGTCTTTTATTTGTTTCTCTTTTGTCTTGTTTTCTTTCCATTCTGGAATTTTTTCGATTTTCTTTTCTTTCTTTCTTTCTTTCTTTCTTTCTTTCTTTCTTTTCTCATCTTTCTTTCTCATCTTTCTTTCTTTCTTTCTTTCTTTCTCATCTTTCTTTCGTTCTTTCTTTCTTTCTTTCTTTCTTTCTTTCTTTTTGGTCTTATCTTCTTTTCACTGTTTCTTTTTTCTTTTTCTCTTTTCTTGTTCTTTTATTTTCTCTCTTTCTTTCTTATTGGCTTTGTCTTACTTCCATGTTTGTTTTTTATTTTTATTTTATTATTTCCTTTATTTTATTCTCTTTTCTTTTTTCTATCTTCAGATTTTTCGTGTCCTGATTATGACGATAAACGACATCCGGCAGCAAGGCCTCTAATCAGAAGGTTTTGAGGAGCCTGAAACCACCTCTTAATTTCTAATGTTTCTAGGTCCACCCTGATCCGGGGTAGTAGCACCTGTTAGGGTCCCAGCTATGGGCAAATAGTTAACCTCCAAACTGGGTGAAAACACTTTGAAAGTGTAAAAATAGTTTTTTTTATATTAAAAATACCAACAAGAAATATTTGGATAAAATGATTACCAGAAATACATTTCACACTCTACAAAAAACATCTTCACAAAAATACGTCAATGAAACCTGATCTACAAACTGACTTCTTACAAAGAATACATATTCTATTCATTGTCGGCATTAAGTAACCCATTGAGATTGATAGGCCGTAAAACAAAATAAATCAAATCAATTATATTTCTCCTCTTTATTCTTGTACCTTTGTTGTTTAGTCTTCATTTTCTGATTTCAGTTTTCTTTTATTTGTGTTTTTTCCTTCTTTTTAAGGCCATGAGATGTAAGAATACGATCAGAAGCAATGAATTCATTAAATGTATCTTTCTTTCTTTCTTTCTTTCTTTTTCTTTCTTTCTTTCTTTCTTTCTTTCTTTCTTTACTTGATTTTTATACTTATCTTTTTTTCTGTATTTTTATCTTTGTTCTCTTCTATTTTCTTTTTATTCTCTTCTTTCTTTTTCTTTCTTTCAATCTTTCTTCTTTTTTCTCTCTCTCTATTCCTTTTCTTTCTTTTTTCTTTCTTTTTTCTTTCCTTACTTGCTTTTTAGACGTATTCTTTTTTCTGAATTTCTCGCTTTCTTCTCATTTTTTTCTTTTTATTCTTTTCATTCTTTTTTTCTGTTTCTTTCTTTTTCTTTCTTTCTTCGTTTTTTTTCTCTTTATTCTTTTTCTTTCTTTTTTCTTTCTTACTTTGATATTTCCTCACTTGCTGAAATCTAATCTACCAAGAGCAGTCAGCTTGCCTATAATTAAAATCCATCATTCAAGAAATTACTCAAACTTCGAAATCCTCTCCAAGTTCCGAGGTACTGGAAGTCTTTCGGATCCACCAAGTTGGGATATCCCTCGAAAGCTACAGTACGGGACAATACGGAAGCTGAGTGGGACGGCAAAAGACATGACAGCTACTTATCCAATTTTGTGTGGGATGATGTCACAATTCATATTGTTCGAGAACATGGAATAAAGGAGTGCATTTTAGCTAAGATACCAGTATTAATCGAATAGCATGTGTTGCCAAGGTTAAGTATCATCAATTGTTGTCTATCCTTCATATCCTCATAATTTTCACTTCATTCTACCTTCTTTTACATTCATATCACACACCTCATTCAGTAACGTTCTAGAATGAGTGGCGATAGAGCCTTGTTGTCATATAGGAATAACGCGTCGCTGCCGACACTTGGGGTTTGAAAACAGATAGCCAGAGATCAATCACAGTTGACCTTATCTTAGATCACGTGACGGATAAAGAAAAAATATATATATATGGAAATTAACAGCGTCTGACCGAATATTATTCGAAGGGTCCAGTTAACTGACATTTCTGCCACATTTAGGAACTGTGGGGGTTTTATTACTAACATCACTTTGTTTAGTTTTTTGTAAATAGTTTTGTACCTCTTTGTAAATAATCAAAGTTTTAAATTTGTTGTTTTATTCCCCACCCAAACAGACAATTAATTGTACATATGGGGTCTAGTTAGGACTTTCATAGAGACAATGTGGTATTAAGGTGGCTGTAGTAAGAAAGGAATGTAAGAGCGTGTTGTTTCGGTGTAAGGAATATTGTTGTCTGTTTGGCTCAGTGCTTGGGGCTAGCTAAGTATAAAGTTAAGAGAGATGAAGACCGTTCCTTTTCACTATTCCTCCTTTTGGCCTTGTGACACATTTTGTATATATTTCATACAAATATTGGACTGTTCGAAGGCGTTAATATTGTTGTATCTGTGATTTACAAAGTCTCTCCTAGAAACCGGCGCTGCAAAACTTGTATTGTGTGAATGCTTCCCTGAACATTACAATCTTGACCTCTTCAAGTCAAAGGTCAATCACTATCTATCCTCATTATTCTTATGTTCTACCACCTCCTCTTTTCATTCATAACACACACCTCATTCATCAGGACCATTTTAACAGTAACCCTCTACAATGCAATTTTGAGCTGTTCAAGGGAAGGATCAATCATTATCTATTCTTCTTATCCTCACAATTCCACCCCTTCTACCCCCTCTCACATTCATATAACACACCTCTACCTTGAGTGACTCATGCGATTTGGATCAGATGAAAAAATACTTGGAATAAGATCACATTCAACGATGAACCTAGGAAGGTACTGCATTCTAGAATGCCTACTTTCTTACTTCCACATATCCTCCAAACTTATTAACGCTCTAACTTGAGTGGCTCCTAGGCCTTTTATTGGGTAATCTGTCAGTAAAAAAAGTGAAATATGAACGGACAAATAGGGTTACATGTGGCACGTGGCCGGTTTAACGTGGGATCTCGGAGCCCGTAGACTCGGCCAAAAATAATCCCTCTTTGAACCCCCATAAACGGGTTCAGGGGCAGTCAACCTCCCCAAACGAGACTCTGCCCTTCGGCAGTGCCTCGTCCGGGTTCCTCTCCGCACGAAGGCTGATTAGCTATTACTGATCAACTGTAGACAGTTCTCTTGAGAGGCATAATCTCCCCGTATACATAGTAATAGGACGAGTCCATTTAGTCCATAAAGGTAGGTCTCATAACATTACTAATTAATAGTCAGCACCCGCTCGCATCAGGATCGTCATTCTATCTCCTTATTCTTTTTCGCCTCTCTGTTTCGGTGTCAGAGATGGTCGTGAATGCCCAGCCAACTCCTGAAGAGAGTTTGACGAGGCCATTCGCCTGAATTTGATTTTGGTGGACACATTTCTTCGCGACGGAAAACTTACCTTCCTCGCGGTTCAAAGGCGACTGACAACAGGCGAGATCTGGGAAACCTTACTAATTAACCCATAGCTAGAGAAAGGAAAGATGAATTGATACCTTTCCTCAAGGGTATTTGCGCGTAAGTCAATATAATGAACCCAACTGAAACTGAAACTCTGAGCCATTGTCCATTACATCTCACTCATCTCACGCACATCTAAGCCTACAGCACCTGTATTCGCAAACGGTCACCCATCTAGGTAATGACCAGGTTCGACGTTGCTTAAATTCGTTAATTGTACGGGAACCAATATTTCAATGTGATATGGCCGTAAGCCGCAATTATGCATGGGATTTGCACCAATTATTCATCTGTAGAAAACGCAGTACGAAATATACATTTATCCGGTGAAAATTATTAGAAATTTCTAATAGATTAACGGGGGCACAGACTTTTTGTATGACCCTATACTCCCACCATATATATATATATATATATATATATATATATATATATATATATATATATATATAAAGAGAGAGAGAGGGGGGAGGGGGGAGTTATATTGTGTATTTGGGCAGCAAACCCTCTTTTATACAAGTTTCGTTAAAAACGACTGATAAGGTACTGCAATTAAGCTTTTTATTTAATTTTTTTTATTTTCGTATTAGTGTTTTCTTTTCTGGATACAAACCGTGTAAAAACTGTCCATGAACCTCTCACGTACATTCATAATGTGTGACATCATTTGTTTACATTTGGATGCGCTTGGAGCAGATCTGGATGTACGTGAGAGATTTATGGAAGATTGAAATTTAAAGACAGTAAATTCGACTTTGCTAACCGAACGCTATTCTGTAGACAAATCAGTTAAAAGCAGGTGAAGCTAAATAATGGTTCCGTATAGGATACAGGTTGGCTGTGAAAATTTCTCGGACATTTTGGCTAGTAAATGTTGTTTAATACTGTTTATTATAAAACAGAGCATTTACTTAAATATTTGTATCAATAAAAGAATGTATAAACATAAAAATGTCTTAAAATAATTGTCAGACTTTGTCCATTTCATAATATATATATATATATATATATATATATATATATATATATATATATATATATATATTATAACTTTGAACATGGACAAAATATATTGACTGTGTTTTGAAAAATGAAAACAGTTTATAAATCATACATACAACAAATTATTTCTTATTTAACAGTTAAAATATTTAATACTTGAAAATGGCTAAATGTATAGCCGAAAGCGCTCGGATAAAAAGAATATTCGGACAGTTTTTATATAATTTATCATACGAAAAGAAAAATTATTAGAACGCATGAGAAATTGTATAAAAAATTAAATAAAAGCACCTTGTCTGTCGTATTCAATGAAATGTACATGAAAGAATGATTGCTGACTAAATACACACACACACACACACACACACACACACACACACACACACACATTATATATATATATATATATATATATATATATATATATATATATATATATATATATATAGGGGAAAAAAAAACAAGGGTATTATAAAAGTATCGGTAGGGATTAATTGAAATGTATATTTTTATCCAGCCTCATATTTGCTTAAGGGGAATTCTTTAGTATGTTTGCAAGGACTCATGACTTCAGATTTTGCGTTTAAAAAGTTCTTTGTACATAATGACAT